CGGACGCCTGCCCGAAGCGGGAGGGTCCTTGTGTCCGGGCCGGACCTGTGTCCGCTCCCTGTGCTCGTCTGTGCACACCGTGTACAGAGGAGCGTAGAGGGAACCCGGGCCCTTCCCATTCCCCGGATCAGCCGCACCCGGGGGCTTCCTCGCACACAGGTTCATTAAAGCAGCCTTTTCCGCGTCTTAAACCTCACGTTTCTAATCAGGTGCCACATTCTCCGCGGGGCTACCTGACTGGCTCCCACCACCCCACACCCCAACCGCCAGGGCTTCCAAAGCAGGCGGGGCAACCCAGGACTAGAGGCCGAAGGTGGGAAGGAACTGGGGGTGCGAGGCGCAGAGGCGTGTGGAGCTGGCAGCCAGGGGCAGGGGAATAAAATAGTATCTCTACAAGCATTGCATTCAATAATATATTCGTTTGTGGGTATTATGTAACATGAAATAAGTATATAAAAATGCAGTACTCTTTTTAAAATACATTTATTTTTACAGAGAGGGAGAGGGATAGAGAGTAACATCAGTGAGCTGCCTCCTGCACACCCCACACTGTAGATGTGCCCGCAGCGAAGGTACATACCCTTGGCTGGAATGGAATCGAACCTGGGACCTTTCAGTCCGCAGGCTGACGCTCTACCCACTGAGCCGAACCAGTTAGGGTTGCAGTACTCTTCATAAATATAAAAGCCTGAGTGACCAAACCACTGAAGGACCAAACGACCGGTCGCTATGATGCGCACTGACCACCAGGGGGAAGATGCTCAACACAGGAGCTGCTCCCCGGTGGTCAGTGCGCTCCCAGAGCCAACCTCCTGCAGCCCCTGCCCCACTTCCCCGCCAACCTCTGCAGCCAGGCCGAGAGACCCACCCATGCATGAATTCGTGCTCCAGGCCTCTGGTTTATTTATATGAAAACCAAGACAGATTTTTGCACAAATGACTGGTTTTATTGAAACAAAATTTACATAAGTTCAAAAAAGTCAACTTGTATGAAAGTCCTCATTTCATATATTTTCTATTTGACCATATATAACATAACCTTGGCATGAAATAAAATTCCAAAATCATTCAAGTAGTGTGCTGCGCCAGCACAGCCAAGGGTTTGGTGAGCCTGAGGAGGGGCGGTGAAGGATTAAAGAGAAGACAGACAAGAGAATACTGCTGGGGCTCAGCTGTTTCATGTGCCTGGATTCGGCCACAGAAAGACCCAGCCTGCAAGCTGAGGCTTTCTTTTATTGTCAGATCAAAACGAGGGAAGTGGTCAACATGTTTACAATGTTCTTGTGATTGTCACCTTGTTTGGGCAGCACTTGCTACACCTCCCACAGTCCATTAGCTACCTCGGAAGGAATTAGGGAGGGCTATAAGGTTAAGCTTAATTTGCTAAGAGGGCTTTGCCCTCCAAGCTGGGACTTGTTTGTGGCTCTTGAATTACATTGTTAAAGAGTTAAAAAGAAAAATACAGTTGTTTGAGGTCCAATTACAGTGATTTCTCATTTTCCTATTATTTTCATCTCTTAACCTACTTCCCCGAGTTTGTCTTTAAGTTGGAGCACTCCTCTACTGTGGTTGTAGAAGCTCTGCCTGTTAAGGATAAATTATTTGGAATTGTGATTAGACCCACCAAGACAAGATATTGGAATGTCAGTAGGAACCTTTTTTAAATGCATGCCTCTGGGGACAGACTGATTCTTCAGATAAGAGAAAATAAAAGTCACACTTCATATTTAGCCCAGATTAATTTCCCAAAGAACCCAACTGGCTAGACCAGCCGTGAGCAAACTACGGCTCGGCTCGGGGGCCGGATCCAGCCCGTTTGAAATGAATAAAACCAAAAAAAAAAAAAAGACCGTACAAAAAAAAAGACCATACCCTTTTATGTAATGATGTTTACTTTGAATTTAAATTAGTTCACACAAACACTCCATCCATGCTTTTGTTCTGGCCCTCCGGTCCAGTTTAAGAACCCATTGTGGCCCTCGAGTCAAAAAGTTTGCCCACCCCTGGGCTAGACCCATACTGTCTAATATGCTAGCCACCTCTGACTGTTTAAATTTAAATCAAATGAAAAATTTAGTTCTTCAGTCACACCTGTCAGCATTCAAGTTCTCATGCTACTGGACACACATGTGGAAGATGCCATCGCTGCAGGAAGGGCTCCTGGACAGAACTGAGCTGCACCAAATAGCAGTTGATTTCTACAGAAATCTATGTGAATACATGAATTGTTTTCATTCTTAGTCACAAAACCTACTTGTTTAAGCTTATCTTCAACAAACAACCCTGTTTGTTTGAGCCCAGGACAGTGGTATAAAAGTAAATATTTGTACAATTTCTCCATATTATGATATGATGTGGGAGTCCAAAGTAATGAACCCAATCTTTGTCACGTAAGACACAGTCTCGTGAGCTCCCTCTGGGTCCATGGCATCTTGGCCATGGGCAGATGGTACCCATGAGGAAGCCTTGCAAGGGACCCCTCACCAATGTGGGTCAGTCATCCCCACTACACTATCTGGCCACCTTGGAGGGGGGTGGCCCTCAGGCATTGCCTCTGCTCCCTGCTCTCAGCTGGGTCCCAGAGCAAGATGACCATCCATGCAGGCCATCCAAGACTTCCCATGACCAGCCACACCCGCCCTTCCTCTACCAGGACTGCCAGCACACTACCTGAGTGCACCATGCCCACTGTGTGCACTGGCCCTTCCACCTTCAAAGCCCAGTTCACACCTAAACTCTCCTGAGAGCACACGTGCCAGGGCGGACCAGCAAACCCTGACCGGCAGATGAATGATGACTCTGGCACACGTTTCTGTGGAGGCTAAGGGACTGCCTGACGAGAGAAACGAAACAGCCCTGTGCACCTGTCTTTTGATGCTTTTCTTGTAACAGCAGCTTGAACTGAAATTGACTACTAGATACTCTCAGCAGGGTGAGCATTCATGAGAAGACACATGCATCTGCAGTGTCCTTTAGCAAGGACGTCTGAAGACTAAGCATGAAGATTCCAGTACACACCCAGACTTGTTCGGAAAAGTCAAGGCAGGGCGGTCACCTTCAGCCCGCTCCCGACCTTTGGGAATTTCCTCCTTACAAATTTTCCAACCAAGTCCCGTTCTTCCCCACATCCCCCCATTCTGTTTTGCTGGCTGCAGAAGACAGAGGGAGGCGGCAAACTTTCTGCTTTGGAATGTCAGGGTCGTGAAGCATGTTTACTGCTCGAGTTGTGATTTTGCAGACGATAAGAAAAACGAAGAGAATTACAATGACAGCAATGCTAAGTCCAGTCAGGTGCCAATTGATTCTAGGAAACCATGTGGTGGGGTCTATCTACTTCAAATGCTCCTTTACTGTATTTCAGATAGTAGTCTGTTGTTCATGTTTGCTGATAGTAAGTAAGGGTTCTTTAATTTGCTTTTGTAATGCATTTACTTCTTTAGTAAGGTTACCATGAAAGGCTCTTTATAGATGGTTTTCCATATTTATCTACTGATGGTGACTACTCTTCTATTTTAAGGGGGTGACACAAATATGCTTGTGCTCCCAATCACAACTGAATATTTGTTGATACACCAGGGCATCCTGCCTTCTAGTAAGGTGCAGGGGGTCGGATTACAAAGGGGAGGGGCAGGCGGTGAGGCCTGTAGCTCTGTGGGGGGGTGGGGGAACCACAGGTGCCAGCTATTGTCCTTTAGTCATCAGGCGATGAGATGATGTTTTGACTCCTGGTGGGTCGACCTGACCATGCTTAGAGGTTCTGCTTGCTGGCTTCACAGCTGAGTCAGCGCCTTAATCACTTCACAAAGGCCTTGGAAAGGAACCTTTTAAGAAAAACGTAACTCCTTATATATACATAAGAAAGTTAACTCCCTATTCACATAAGTATATGCGTTCTAAGATTTAAAATAATATGACCACTTTTCAGATTAATTCAGGTGTTCTACCTATTAGATTATAAATCCCCCCTTTCATTCCCCCCTCAGACTAGGTGGATTGGTGGATATCTATCGAACTTGTATTATGGTAGTAAATCTCTTTGTAAAGAAGCTTTCCCTTTCAACACACTGGAAAAGAACCAAACAAATTCTGTATTAGTTTACTTTAGATTCATTTATCTAACTAGATTTATTACTCAGTATATCTATAATTTCCTTTTAAGATTTCTCTTCACAATCCTGATTTTTATATTCTTACATTAACTCTCTTTTCCTTCAAAATGCATCTCTATTCCTCATGCCTTCTATTAAGTATTCCTACCCCAATATCCTTTCTTCCTGTTATATCCCTTCCTTTATATCCTTTTCACCATTTTTACTTCCTCAACTCTAATTCTTTACAAACCCTCTGCAACTTACCCAGACCCTTTCAGTTTGTCTATTCACTTTCTTTCCTTTATCCCTACACCTTCTATTATACCAAAACTATGAATTCTTTCTAATTAATTAGAATTAAAGGTCAGTTCTACACAGGCTCCGAGTTCTGGGATGTCTCTCTCAGACATGACATTCCAGTAAAGTTTTGGTTAATAAAACCACAATTGGAAACTGACTTATGTCCTGTTATGAAGAAATCAGATTCTCATTGGATTTATGCAAACATTTTGCCATGAGAATAACTATAATTATTTTTAGTCCTATAATAAAATTCTTTTTCTCCTGATTTTTCTTGCATTTCTATAAATCCAGGGAACCTTTGCTTTCTAGGAAGATAATGAAAAAAACTTTCTTCCCCCCTTACTTTCATAAATAGGCTTATTATTCCAATGGAAAATATACTCACACTAGGGGCCCAGTGCACGACTTCATGCACCTTGAAAGAAACTGTGGGCCGCGAAGCTGTGGTGGGCATAGAGGCAGGTCTCAGCCC